GAAACGCACAAACACAAACATTTGTTTACTTTCCTTTCGTAGTATTTAATTGCACCGCAACTTAAATTTATTGGCATTGCATTTATCACATATGTATGTATTTATCACTATAGACGACAATACTCGTTGTGGCGATGCGCACTTTGTGAGTGTGCAGGCAACTACTAATGTACAGCCTCAGACTTGAAAATCAGCTGGGATAAAATGTAGATCCTTTAAAAGTTTGTGGTTTGGTTTCTATCCGTCTGGTCAACTTTGTCAGTCGTCTCTTTATTTGTCTTCGCAGGATTACAAATATTTTTAGTTTTATCGAAATCGGTAACAATATCCTATAGCTGTCATATATTTGCCATACTAGCCATATTGAGCTATGCAATCTATTCGCGCAGTGTAAAAGCTATTATAAGCTGTCATATAACATAAAACTTAATAAATCGTAAATTTGTATGTGTACACTGAACATGGTTAAAATTTCGATCAAAAAACCATATCGTAATCGTGATTTTTTTTTCGAGAATTATGCATATGACTCGCTATTTATTGCCATTATTGTTGGTTTTATATAATTTCGGATCGATCCCTTGAGTTGACAATAACCTATAGCAGTCATATTTATATTCGCGCAGTGCACAATAATTTTTTGAAACAAAGACCAATTTCTAATGTCATGTCTTACCTTTTTTGAGTCCACTCACTGAAAAGCCGTATGCCAAATTATATTTGAAAATGTGGTGTATCGCAATTACGCATTTTTTCCCTGCTCAAAAAGTTTCAAACTTAACGCTTAAAAGGTCGGAAGTATAAACACGATGCGGTAAATTTTTGAAAGATCCAATGGAATTTTTAATATTTTTATATGCAGCGGGACATACGGTTTGGTGAAAAGAGACGGAGCGGTAAATTTTTTAGGACAAGAGTCAAAAAGGCCACAATTTCAGAGCGAGAGTCTCTGATGTCGATGGTGCTTGTGGCTTCGTCTGGCTCTGGGTTCTGGGTCGTGAGTGGCTAGTCATGAGCTGCGGGCATAAGCAGTAGACCCGCAAAGAATTACGGAGGCACACAAGAGCAAAATTATTTTGCAATAAATTTTGTGACATATTTCCATGAATGTGAAAAACGCTTAAAGGAAACTTGAAGGCAGACAGGTAACATCTGGGGGGTTGTTGGTGGTTCTGCGTTGTCTCTGTGCGTCGTAAGCGTACATACAGACACATATTAAATGCACATCAGGTCGACACAATGGCAACTTAAATTGTCTAAGAAAATGTCACCAAAAGGGATTTTTGACGTTCGCTCGCAAGGCAAGAGCAAACAAAGAGCGTGGGATCGCGCGGACTAGCACTGTGACCTAAGACCTACCTCCCAGCGAGGTGATTTCGCAATCTGCGACTGTGACTTTATGACAGTTTGATTTATCCATTATTGAAAAAGTTTTTTCGCAGGCGCAAAAATTAGTTGCCAAGACCGACAACCACGTAGCTGATGCGAACCAACACTGACAGCTACAGCTCAGTTCAGCCCTGCCAAGACTACTCCCCAAACAGACTCTACGTCAAGACACGTTACGCACAGTGAACCCATAAATAATTTTTACGTTAAAAATTTTGTCTTTGAGCCAAAATCGAAGAGGCCTCGCCCACCGCCAGCCGCAAGCCGCCAATGAAGTCAAATTAATTTTTAATGTGCTCTGGCTGGTATCAGTAGCGAGTTCGTCGCCTCTCACCCGACAAGTGTAAGACCTAGGCCATCATCTATGCGTATGCACAGCGTCGAAGTTTTCTTCAATAGCCCTGCCGATGTCGTGAATATTCTGTTGCTCCCCCTCCGACGCTGCCGGCTACAGTTTGACATGGAAATTAATTAAAAAAGTTTGCTATCAGCCTTCGATGTGTCAGTACCGTGAAACAAAGAGCAATAAGTACTTATTTTACGCGATGTCACCTAAGCGCCGCCTACTTCAATCAAGTAACGTTTCAAAATCAAGCAAATAATCAGAACCTCTTGCTGAGAAAGTCCTTGTCTGCCATGGAGGAGCTGCTCCTCTGATCATGCCTCCTCTCGCTACTTAGGTTACATAAACAGTTCCGAAAACAAAGAAATCAGCGTATGGGCCCGCTCACTCTTGGACTAACATTCTAGCTGTGACCCGCCCACCTCCCGAGCAGTTTTCTATGGCTTTTGGTAAAAATACAGATATAACACCGGGGCATGTTCCCTGTGTGTCAGCACCGTCGTACATTGATAAAAGTTTTAATTTATGTCAAAAGCTTTCAGCAAGAATTTTAATATGCGAACAATTTTTGCAAAGTTGTCCCTCCCCGCTTACTTTGTCCTTGGCTGGGCCGTGTTTGGAGCTGCACATCCCTTTCCCGCCGTTATATTCAAACTTATCGAATTCTTGGGAAACGCAACTAGGAAAACATTCGGGTCAAAGTTAAAGGTAAAAACAATTTTTGAAATGCAATTACCAAAGCACATCCATTCGATAATTAATTATTGGATGATTTTACATTTTGGCGGACCCTAAGCTGTTTTTTTTTATAAAATTCTTGCAGTCGAGAAGCAGTTGCCATTAACCATGCTTGCCACTGTCTTCTGTTCACAAATGCAACCCACTTAACTTCAACTTTTTTGGATTTGTAAATGGCAATATGAATACTAGTCCATGAAGACGGTCCTCAAAAGCGGAACAGCGCATGAAAGGATAGCTCATCATTATTCCCTTGCAGAGGGTATAATAATTTTGGTCAAAAGTGTGCAACGCAGTGAAGGAGACATCTCCGACCCTATAAAGTATATATATTCTTGATCAGGATCACCTCCTGACTTGATATAGCCATGTCCGTCTGTCCGTCTGTCTGTTTCTACGCAAACTAGTCTCTCAGTTTTAAAGATATCGAACTGAAACTTTGCACACACCCTTCTTTCCTTTGCACGCAGTATATATGTCGGAACGGCCGGGATCGGCCGACTATATCCTGCCATATAACTGAAGCTGGGATTTTCTATAGGTTTTATTTTTGGCCAATCCGACCTATCAAATTTCATAAGGATCGGCTGACTATATCCTATAGCTGTCATATAACTGAACGATTGGAAATGCCATAACTTTGGTGTTTGTAAAGTTAGGAAGTTGGGATTTTTTATGAGTATTAAGAATGCATCATATGAATAATTTTGGAGAATATAATGTACATAATATTATTATTATTATATCCCTAATCGTAGAGTAAAAGTAGAAAAGAAGTATTCATTGAAAAGTAGAATTCATTTAGACCTAAAAAAAAGTTTTTTGTTCCAATATCAAAAATTTCAACTCATGACAATTTTCGGCTTTTGGCTAAATTGTGTTCTTTGATGGATAAAATCCACAGAACTCTGAAATAGCAATTTTTTAGATGAGTTAACCGGCAAACACCCTTAAGGGAATTTTAGTCAAAGTGTTGCAACGCAGTGAATATATATATAAAGTATATAAATATTATTGATCAGCATCATTAGGAGAATCGATCTAGCCATGTCCGTCTGCCCGTCCGTTCGTTTCTACGCAACCTAGAAGCTATCTGCTTGAAACTTTCCCAAAAGTTGTCTTTCTATTGCAGGTAGTATATAAGTCGTATATCGACTTTTTTATGTGTACGCAAAATTCTCTACATTTCTGTTTTTTTAACTTCGTTTGTATTTTGGTTTCGACTTTTCGTAATTTTTCAAAATTTTTGAAGAATGGCTTTTCAGAAAAGTGTCCTAGAACCTGCCCTTCTAAGCCCATAACCTTTCTTACAGACATCCGATTCTAAAGTGACATACTTCTAAATGCCAGTGGTTTAATTCTCCAAAAATATGTGTTTTCAACTTGGTTTGATTTCGGGTTCGATTTTTAGTCATTTTTATACCCTTGCAGAGGGTATTATAATTTCAGTCAAAAGTTTGCAACGCAGTGAAGGAGACATTTCCGACCCTATAAAGTATATATATTCTTGATCAGCATCACCAGGAGACTCGATCTAGCCATGTCCGTCTGTCCGTCCGTTTCTACGCAAACTAGTCCCTTTTATGATTATTAAGAATGCATCATATGAATAATTTTTGAGAATATAATTTACAGAATATTCTGCAAGGGTATATCAACTTCGGCTCCGCCCGAAGTTAGCTTTCCTTTCTTGTTATAATGAAAATTTTAAAAATTGCTTTGTAGAAAAGTGTCCTAGAACCTTCCCTTCTAAGCCCATAGCTTTTCTTACAGACGTCCGATTTCAAAGTGACATATGTACTTCTAAATGATTGTGGTTAAATTCTTTATAAATCTGTGTATTCAACATGGGTTGTATTTTGGAGTCGATTTTTCATAATTTTTATAGTGTTACCCCTTTCCAAATTTTGGACGATGCCTTTGCAGAAAGTGATCTAAAACCTGCCCTTCTAATCCCATAACTTTTCTTTCAGACATCCGATTCTAAAGTGACATACTGCAAAATAATTGTGGCTAAATTCTCTAAAAATCTTTGTTTTCAACATGGTTTCAAGCCCCTTTTCAAATATTCGTAGAATGGGTTTGCAGAAAATTGTCACAAAATGGCGCTTCTAAGCCAAAATAGTGACTGTTCTGTCCAGCTGAGGATCTATACTATCGGTTACAGGTTGATTTTGCCCAGATAGCGCAGATAGCCCAGTTCATTAACTTTTCAGGGATCTTCGAGTCAAATCGGATTGACTCGAGTAGCAAGGCCGCCGGCAGAGAAGCAACCACGTGTTGCTCGCTCCGGCCAAAACGTAAACAAGTCGGATTCCCCGAGGGCCATGCATCTCGGTGTCCACTCGAGTGGTGCCGAGCAAGGACGATAAGCCGGTGGGGATGGGGACAGGGGAACCGGCCTCAGCCAACCGATGTTTGAGTGAAACAGTCGGTCGGAAGCGCCGTTCGGCGAAAGCTTTGCGGACACGAATCCGCCTCCGCAACTGGCTGCGCCGTGATTCTACCGTCAGTTGTTGTGTTAGCGTGTACGAGTACGGTTCCCGTGCGCGCATACGGCAGCGCTCTTCCGGCGTAAAATCAAAGAGAGATTCCAAAGTTCAAACGGCTTAAAAAATTATGTTCGAGTGTTTTTTTTGCTGTGTTTTCTTCTTTGCTACGTGCTGCGCGTTTTGAGTTCTGCGATTTTCGTTTATGTCTGGCTATCAAAATATTAAGGGTCAGCAAGTCGCTGCGATCGGACTCTAATTAAATGTGCCGTAATCAGGTCAACACAATAATATCTGCAAATTGATGTGCGTTTTCCTTTATTTCGATTATATAAAATTGTCTTACGTGGAATTGGCTAAAAATCATCTTTCAGTTGGCAATTAAGACTTTTCAGTGCAACAGTACGTATTTGATCTTGATTATGATAATTTCATCGGTGTCTCAGATTAAACAGAAGTGCCCACCAGAAAGCAACTGAATCTCTATTAAGCTGGTCTTCTAAGTGATTTTAAATTTTTCTTTCCTTTCAAAATCGAAAAAAACGACCCGTTTATTTAAATAGAAGGATTATTATTAATTTTCTCTTCACGTGTGGCCCGAACAGATCTGAAGCAGTGCCAATTCCATGCGGTTCGAAAGGCTCGTATTAGATTGTTCCCACATGATGGTGGAAAAGTTAAGAATTACAGCCCATACCCCTCTTACGCATGATTGGAATAAAAATGTCCTGCAGGCGGCTACCAGGACATAACAATATGCATACGAGTACAACAACGACAATGACAACAAGTGTTTTCTGCTGGCGTAGCCGCTGCTGTTGCCCAAACGTACGAGCGCCATTAAGTGTGGCAACTACAACCACCTTTCGCCCAAAACATGAAATTGTTGCAAAATATGGAACTGCTGTGCAGGAGTCGAAATGAGTGTTATGCCAAAACCACGACTCCGACTGGGACTGAGACCCAGTGTGCAGTACGGATATTAAACTCCGGGTCCGAGTCCCTTGCCAGGAACGTGCCGCAGCACAGCCTGCTCAACCCCACGTTGCTAGTTGGTAACAAAACCTAATTCGCCCAGACCACATATGCATATGGGTATCCAGACTTGTCTACGTCCGTGTCTGCGTCCGTCGTGTGTCTGGCCTTGTTGATAACTTAATAGCAAGACAATGCAATACTTTCCATTTACGAGTTTATTTCTGTAAGCGGGCGAAACCAAGTGCGGACTCCATTCTAGGCATCCCATCCACCTCCGTCTTCTTCAGTGCGTCTGCGGGTTTGAAGCCGGTCAGTACCTGCCTCGACATAAGCCCATTTCCCATTTAATTATACACCGCCTAGGACTTTTTTATAACAATATATGCTGTAGCTTCAGAATGCGCGCAACCAGCGCGAGATGTCTATGTGCTGCCGGGACAAGGTGCCAGTTCTCACAGTCCGAATGTTCTCACGTTCATATCAACAATGATCGGTTGGGTTTGTCTTTTTACCGAACCTAACTTCTGTTCGCAAAGCTACAGACTTTTGTACTCATCCTGCATACGCTTGGTATGGGCAGGAGCATAACTTCGTATAAACATCACAATGTAAACGGAAAAACTGCAGCCAACGTATGCATGGATGTGACAGAAGTCGCAATAAAAACGTGGAGCAGCAGAAGCAAAATTAAGTGAGCGGCAACTCTACTATAACGTGCGGCACGTGATGCTTGTGCCCGGCGGAGTTTATATTTCACTTCGTATCTTTCGGCAGTATAACCCACCGTCTGTCTGCAGATACTTAATCATCTTCAGCTCCCTTAAACAGATTTGGGAGCACGATCCTTGGCCTTCATCCGGCTTGGAAACTGGCTGAATTTTCAGTTTGCTGGGGAGTGGCAGTATAGAAATAGCTACGTCTGCTGTTCTCGACTTTCCCGAATTTTGCGGCAGTGGGATTACACTGCAACGTACCTAAAAAAATATATTTAATATCTTCGAAATATTTTTTTTACTCAAATCATGGTGCAGAATTAAAAACATTTATATTCTCTATGGCTGTGTCCATGAGCTACGGAGACGAGTTGCCAGTTTGCCCATTCCGATTGGTCTCCAGTTAATATCCCTCCTTTTTTTTGCATTTAGTCGAAAACACCCACAAATTTTCTTTTGTTGCTCAGTACGCTTTGTAGTTTGCAGTTTAAATTAATTCCACTTTACCGACAAATATCCCAACACGCCCTTCTCCACCGCTAGCTGGTATTTTTATATTGACCAACAGCTGCCCTTCGGATTTGGTGTTGCAAAAAAATCGGCAAATGCCACCCTCAGAATTCGTTTTTCCGATATTGACCACGATTGTGCAAGCCACAATTCCTAAACTTAAATTGCCTTAATTATATACTGAGAAGCCCTTCCTGCTCGTATTTTTTTTTCTATGGTCTTCACCACTTAGAATGCAGTGAAATAGAACGTAAACAATTGAAGTACTTGCCGACGCAGACTGTATAAACATTATGATAAACATAAACAAAAATCGGTACCTGGTGATCAGGTACGTATGCTTACGATCGAAAGCCAAGAAGTGATGTGACCAGAAGCGAAGAGATCGTAAAAATGTTTACGGGCAATTACTCAGTACACATGTGGAAACTATTCAACATTCTAATTTCGAATAGCCTTTGCCAAAATTGGGGCTAAGAATTTATTCATTCTAAGCGCCCCTACACTTCATTTCGTAATAAGTACTTCGTCAGGCCGCAGTTCTATAAATCGATTTCTATGCAAATCTATTTAAAAACAACCAAAGTCTGTCAATTTTCCCCAACATTTTCCGATCGGTCTTAGGGAGCCTTTAAATAGACCACCACAAATACAAGGGCATAAATGTGTGATTTGCATGGCAAAACTTGTCGATGTGTGTGTGTGTGCCAACCGCGGATGTCGGCATAACACGTTCCAATCTTATTAGATAGCACCGTGGTGATCGCTGATATAGGTACATACAGTCGCACATGACTAGATCGACTCGCCTGTTGATGCTAATGAAGAATAAAGATACTTTACAGGGTCGGAAATTTCACCTTTACTGCGTTGCAAGCTTCTGACTTAATTAAACTACCCACGGCAGGGGTATAATAATTTGCTAAACCGAAATTATCTATACATTTATTTATACATTTTTAGTGAGCGCGATGAATTTTAGTTATGGCACTGTTCCAAAATCGCGAGCACTGATCAGATTTGACCCAGTCAGTCGAAGAACCGGTATACAAGCCACCTGGTCGTTCCACTTCGACCTTTAAAGCACCAAAGGCAACATGATACAACCACTTTCAGCTGATTACGCATTACCTTTGACATCAGATTGGCTGGAAAATAATTCACTTGCAACTCTAGAATTACTTATTTATTTATTTATGAGCCTCATGAGCAAAAAGTCTATAATTTATTCATTTAAGCCTTTTTATTTTATTTATTATGATTTCTTTTGATAGTATGCCTTAATAAACTCCGAGCCCACCTTGTCGTCAGTTCCACAGTTCATGCATGTAAATTGGCCTCCCACTCTGCCCACGCAGCACACACATTCACCAGCATTCTGTAAATGTACGTAGCTGCAGGCATGCATAATTGAATGGCTCTACGTGTGAAGTCGCCAACAGCTGACGCCACTAAAGTCATCAACTTTTGCATTTGTACAACAGTCGCAATCGGAGCTAAAGCTGCAGGTGGAGCTGAAGCATGGTGCTAACAAGGCTATGAAGGCTAGCTGCAGCAGCCTGCTGAATATTTTAATGCCATCCGTGTTGCAGTCCATTCCGACAAACGAGGACTCCATAAAGGAGCGGCAACACTTTACCTTTGCAGGCCAGATTTATGGTTTCCAAGTGAGGACAGGGACTTCAGCTCAATTTGGCTCACACAATTCAGGGGTCAAAGGTGTCGGTGCCCCTCATAGCTCCCAATAAAGATTGGTATTTTTGAAAATTGGTCACAGCACATTTATTGAAACTATGAATATTGTTTACATTTAGTTTCTTTGCATAATACTGAAACCCAGCCATCATGGACGCCTCATGCAGCTACTAGCTGGTGTGCAGCAGCTCAGCAATGTTGGCTGCTGGCAGCAGTGAGATCAGTGACTTCGGGCCAACCTCGCGGCGACTGCAAACGAACTCCGCCGACAACAGCAGGCTCCGATTATCGGCTGGCACCACGCCCAAGCGACCTCATAAAACTTGCCACCGTCCCGGCCCAATGACAACCAGCAGTACCGGCGGAGCAAGCGGCAACGGAATCAGCAGTAGCTGTGGAGCTCAAATCGCTCCGTCCTCGACCAAGGGAGGAAGCGCCATGACGACTGTTACGGCGACGACGGGCAAGGCGACGGTCGGCCCCGGCCACGGTCATGGGCGGAATGACAGGGGGGGCCGCAACACCGCAGCTGGTGGCTCCAACGTGGAAGGGTTTGTCGGGGGGATCGAGACGTATTTGGGTCTCATCGGGTGGCGAAAGAAGTGCCTATACACCCTGCTGTTGCTGCTGATGTTGCTTATTATCACAAACCTCGTGCTAACCCTCTGGATACTCAAAGTAATGGAGTTCTCAACGGTAATTTTGTACCAAGCTCCCGTGATAGACGCATCATAGACTGTCCTCCACTAACTCTCCACTTATCGCTTTCAGGAGGGCATGGGTCAGCTCAAAATCGTACCCGGTGGCATACAGCTGTCGGGACAAGCGATAATTATGGACATGCTGCGCGCATCGACAATCCGTTCGCGGCACGGTCAACCCATATCCATAGGTGAGTGTGAATTGCGTTCTCGTCACTAGCCTCTGGCGTTATCGAGCGATTATGTGCGAACAAACACCGTCATACAGGCAACCGCCACCCCGTTCAGATGTGTGCCTTCCCTTCCTTACCCCTCCATTGTCCACTCAGTGCGACGCCCTTGAGTATTAATATTCAATTCATACATTTTTACCATTCACGTTCCCATATTCCACATACGATGGGTAAGACGGCCTGACCACGACGCCGCAGCAGTGATGAGCTATGGCTAAGCATTAGGGTTTTTATGGGACATTTACCACCATTTACCTCCACTGTTGAACTTTCTCTGCAAATGTCAGAGTCATGGACGGCGCTGCTTGCTGCCTCCGATGACTGGCTGAAAGGCTTGCCGCTATTATGCAACCTCAGAAAAGCGTTTGCAGGCCCATTTGTTGGCCTGTGCTTGAGGGCAAGTATGCTAAGCTTAAGCATTCAGAGATGTGGATTCATAAAGAAAGAGGACAGTGCACAGACAGGTGTTCGGAGACGGACGATAGACGATGGACAACGACAAATGTGTGGCCGTTGTCAGTCAAGACATAAATTAACAGATATCAAGCATTTTGGCCAGGCGAGCAGGAAATCAGTGACGCTAAGAGTCTGCAAATGAGATCGGGACTGCGGAGCAGCGCCTTAAACGCCAGCCGATGGAGCAGCAGCCAAGATGTACAATTACAGATAAGCCATATGAAACCACGACCAAAGAAGACTGATGCGATTTCCAAAGGACCTTCGTCCATGTGTCGACAGGAAAGTGCTATCAAAAAGCAAAGCAGGGGTAGCACGCGAACAGCAGAGCATTTCCCGCAGCGATAAGCAGCCACAGACACGCGCGCGGAAGCGGGGGCCCTGGCTGTGACAGTAAAGTCCTCGCAGATGGGCGGATGGACCCGACGGGGAGTGTGGGGCGGTGACGGGTCACGGCGGAGGACAGCCCCACCAGGTGACGGCGGTTGCTGATAGTTGATAGCCAAGAGCGACCGCGGTGCGGCGCACTGAGCTGAGACAATGGCGGAGAGGAGAGCCCAAGATTTGATTTCCGTTTCCGCCGTCTTGTTATGTACTATCTTAGCCAGGTATCCTCCTTTATCTGCATGCACGTGTGTGGTGTCTTTTTGGCGCTGTGTGTTTACATATTTATATTGCAAGTATTGGTAAAATTACCTGTATTTTTTCATACAAACATTTCGATTAATTCTGTCTTCCCCCTTTCAATCCTCCGTAAATATCTATATCATTTATGTCGCACCTCTGTTTCTGTTTCCATTTCTCCGACTTTCGTGCAACTCGACGGCCCACCGTCGCCATCATCAATAGAATCATCACGTAATTTTTCAATCAATACACGTGACCCGAATGGAATGATTGAGAATCATTTATTTCTGGGACACGATAAGTTCGAGTGCCTGTCTGCGGGATTTCGCATAAATGACACCAACGGACGCAGCCTGTTTTCCGTAAACCGAAACGAAGTGGCAATCGGAGCGCACGCCCTGCGGATCGACGGCGAGGGTGGCGCCGTCTTTCGGGATTCCGTGCAGACGCCGCATGTGCGCGCCGAGCCAGGTCGGGAGTTGAGGTAAGTGCAGATTCCAGAGTCCAGTCTAGACCCTGAAAACCGGGGCTGAGATGAGACCGTGGCCCAAGCGATCTGCCGTTGAAGAGTCAAGACCGGAATGCATGCCGGTGCCAAGTCCATGGCCAATTAAAGTAAATGAAATCGAAAGCCAATCTACTGTAGCCACTCGCAGCCCGGTGTTGAAATTCAATGACTGTAATAAATTTCCAGGAATTCGTAGCGGGGCAGCATCTAGTCCGCGTCAGACTGGGACGGGTATGGCATACTGTGGCCACATATTGGTAATAAACAAGAAAGAAAGCAAACTTCGGCCAGCCGAAGATTATATAACCTTGCAGTTATTACAAATCGACATTTCGATTTCTATGTCTATTTTACTAAAAACAATGAAGCAATGTCGATTTTGCGCTGCATTTTGCCATCGTTTCTATGACAGCTATATGATATTGTTGTCCAATTTTAATTTAATTAAAACCACAATTCCATAATATTTATTTATTACCAAATTTCAAAGAACAAAAAAAAACAACATTTTTTTTGAATTTTTTTCCGATTGTTCCTATGGGAGCTAAATGATATAGTCGCCCGATCCGGCTCGTTCCGACTTATATACTACCTGCAATAGAAAGACAACTTTTGGGAATGTTTCAAACAGATAGCTTCAACTAGTTTGCGTTAAAACGGGCGGACGGACGGACGGACGGACGGACGAACAGACGGACGGACATGGCTAGATCGACTCTCCTGGTCATACTGATCAAGAATATATATACTTTATAGGGTCGGAAATGTCACCTTCACTGCGTTGCAAACTTTTGACTGAAATTATAATACCCTCTGCAATGGTATAAAAAGAAAGAAAGCATAGTTTTGGCCAGCCAAGGTTCATATACCCTTATATAAGTTTAAAATTAATCAAGCTTCGTTGATTTTCCAACGCATATTTCGATCGTTCCCAGCTTTATCATAATATAGACGTAGGAATTTTATAGAATTGAAACCGTAATTCTAAAGACGTTTAATACTACACTATATACTATTTCGGAACATATTCTTATATGTTTAAAAACAACGATATTATATATTCTTATACCCTGGCAGAGGGTACTATAATATCAGTAAAAAGTTTCATATGTTGTGTAATACCTCCTGCATTGGTATAAAAATTAAAAGCAAACACTCAGATGCGTTCGTGTGCGTCTGTCAACGTAACCTTTGCGGTAACAAAACAACAGTCACATCACCGACAGTCCCTCACATCGCCACAAATGGCAGTCGAGTGTGGGATAGGTGGTAGCCTGGTAGTGCACTGCACCCGCACCTGCACTGCTACCAACATTCCACCATCCTCTCCACGAGGTGTCGGTATTCAGCTCACTGAGCGTGGGCTGGCAAGTGAAATATTTATACACATTTGTCAGAATGTACCCAATCGATGCCAGTGAATTACAAAGCGCTAAAGGGGCAAGATTTTTTTTCCTGTTTTGCTAGGCAAACGCTGGACGGGAATCGGACTGGGATTGGGACTTCGGCTGGCTTTGGGAGCCAGTCGCTGCATTATGCGACAGCGGCCCACAAATCGCCCATTTGTACGCGTGTGTACATATAAACCATTAACAGGATCGTCGGCTTGAAATAACATTTTCATTGACAAATTTGGTGATAGCTGCTTGTTGGTTCATGAAAATTACAAATTGTCTAGCGCCCGATACACACGATATTTCAGTTGACGAACCGGTCGGCGATGGCAGCGATTTTAACGCGAAGTCAAATCAGCTATTCAAATTGGAATTGCACAGTTTTTGAGGCACCATTGATGCGGCCCAGTGACTGACTTTACGTTTCATTAGGCCGACGTTCGAGGAAAGGGCTCGTTCACCACGTGCAGTCTCTGTGGCTGTGGTTATCCACTTTTTACGGACTCCTCGGGACTGGGCAAGAGTTGTTTACCAGGGCCATTTACTAACCAAGGTGCCGTCGCAACGCTTGCACCGTGTTTTAATTACAGACTCGAATCTCCCACCCGCCAATTGGAGATGACGGCGGCCAAGGACATAAATTTGCAGTCCCGGGCTGGAGGCATAGAAGTCGTGGCGCTGGAAGACGTTAAGTTCCGAGCCCTCGATGGGAGCGTAAGTATGGTTCAAGGGTCATGTCCAGTCAAATTGGAGAAGTAGCAGGCGCAACAGTGGTTTACTGCAAAATCACTTGTCTACCTTGTGCTCTTATCGATGCAGCTGCGACTGGAGTCTTCGAAGATTCTCATGCCCAACCTGCGAATGGCCCAGCCGCCCATCCTAGGTACCGCCCAGAGGATGGATCACATGCACCGAGTCTTCCAACTCTGCGCCTGCTCAAACGGCAAGCTTTTTCTGGCAGCGTCGCACTCGATATGTGCGGGTGACGACTCTACCGTCTGCAGATGATTGCAAGGCATCACGCGCTGGCAGTCCACGTCCACGTCCAAAAGCGAGGTTCGGGGTGAAGACGATTTTGACGCCGTTTAAGAAGCTAGGCCTCCGGACAGCCCAGTATACAAGATCGCCATTGCTCATTACCACAACTATAGCTGTATGCACAGGCAACGTCGCATCCATGTTAATTATTCATACGCTAACTGTAACATAGAATGGTATACATAACTAGTAGAAAACACTCAAATATGGTTAATCATGCATATGCGTACACCCTGCATCCATAAATGTTTATACCCAAAAAAATCAAGAGCTTCTTAGACACTTGGATGTTGTGTACTATTATACCAGAAGGCAGTTCAGAGACATAGGCATATCCTTCATATACATATGCTATATCACCAAAGCAACTACTAATGAATTATAATTATCAGACAAATATAAATTTATAATCGATCATAGGAAACTACCAGAGCCGTCTCCTGTAATGAATATATTCGCATTGTCGTAACAACGTAGTAAAACACTTCAAAACTTTATTGGTATGACCTTCCCTAATGTAACTATATTTCCCCACAGCTGGACACCGTTTTACAAGCTGGGTTATACTCAATTTGTATACCCTTGCAGAGGATTATATATTTTGGACATAAGTTTGCAACGCGTTGAGGAGACATTTGCGACTCTATGTTAATTATATATATATATATTTATATATATAAATATATTAATCAGCATCACCAGAAGAGACGAACTGGCCATATCCGCCTGCCCGTCCGTCCGTTTGTTAATATTTTAGCCCCTATCAAAAATGCAAAAATAGTCAAATACATTTTTTTTAAGTCAACTTGGAATCGATGCGTTAAGATCTCATCTGGTCAAACCAGTAATTTTTTTTGGTGTGCGTCCAATTATATCTTAGTCAATAAGATAAAAGAAAAAAATATTTTAGCAAGTTTTTCTCTATCGTTCAAATGGCAGCTGTAAAATGTAAATCTGCAATTTTTATCAGTGAACACATCCTGACATCAAAGCCGTTTTCGAACCTGCGTACATATATAAAAAGACGAGTGCAAAAGTTTATAGTCTTAAAGACCAACATGGCCAGAAATGCTGATTAAGACTAGTCATACCTACTTTATATGGTCGGAAATGTTTAATTTACTGCGGTTCAAACTTTTGGACAAAACTATAATATCCTCTCCAAGGGTATAAAAATTAGTTTTTAAGTACAATAAAAACAATTTTTTTTAAAGTACATTTTCAAATTTGGAATTGAACAAGAAGACTTTCTTGAAACGTCTGGGGTCGATTTTATACACGGTAGACCCATTGACACATAGCAGTCCTAAGTAATTGTACATAAGACTGCCTTCTTTATCATACTATATTACGAATTGAATCGGCCGTAATTGTAACTGTATTCATTTAGATAATAACGCAAAATCTATTTAAACAGTTTTTTTGATAATTATGATCAGAATCCAAAGCATCATGCTGACATTAAGCACAATACAAAGACAATGAAATATCATCCAATGAATCACAAGAGCTATTTATACCTTAACCTATACATGTGTAATATTACAGATACACATATGAAAACAAACACGAATATCGGTATAAATATGGATACAAAATGAAATATGAGTAAATTACTTTGAACATGGATATAAATATAAAATATATATTAATAGAGTTGAATATGAAATTGCTGTTGAATTTTTGAAGTGCGAGAACACTGATATATAGATATATTTAAAAATAATCAAATATATTTGTATCTGTATCTATGCAAGCATAAGGCAAATGCTTTTAGAGAGGCATTACGTTTAATATGTGGTTGATTTTTTTTAGCACGGTTAGGAAACATAATGTTTAAATAGAAAGTTTGGTGTGGATGCAAGAAACTTTTATATCACATATATTGTAATACAGCAAGGTACTAAAATAGAAATACATGCGTAAACCACAACTAAATCTATTTTAAAGTTAATTTAAAAACAGGCCTCTGAATACATTTGCCAGGATACGGAAAACAAGGAGCAGAAAACAACAATTTCTGTCCCTGCAATTGGTTGGACATACGGATTTTTAATTCGACGGCTGGGATTGTGCGCACTTTTTACAGCAAAGCGCTCAAACGAGGACTCAAGCCGAGTGCTCGTTGGTTAACGCCTTCTAGCGCCACTTCAATTGAACCGTAGAGCGTTTGAAGTGTTTTTGGGTGCGTCTAAGCGACGCCGACGATAGCACAGTGACGATGATGGGAATTCAACGGCATCGTCAGCGAGGACTCAGACATGGGCCGTACATGGCCAGCCGGGGCAAGTGATGTGGTCGTGGTCGTGGTCTTGGCTTCGTCCTTACCGTCGTGGTCGTCGTCGTCGTTGTGGGAGTTTCCGACCAAACGTCCGACGACACACGACGACTCCTCGGGCAGCTAAATTGAGTTATTCTCTAAGCGAAAGACTGATTTGAGCTGAAAACGAGCTTAACAAGCGTTGCCAAGAAGCTTTGTGAGCAGGAGCAGTGAAAGTTGCCGCGCGCGCTTGCCTGTTCTATTTGAAAGCTTCTGTAGCCGCAACTTCATGACTGGATCCAAGTGCAGACGCATCGTTGGCCTTCGTTCCCAATGGACTCGCCATCGTCAATGGCTCATGTTTCATTTATTGGCTACTCGGCAGGTAACTGCCAGATTGAATACGGCAGCTGAACCCTTCAACTTCGCCTGAGATGCATTTTGTTGGGATGGGTTCAAGATTAGTCACCTCTCCCCGGCAGATTCAGTCTATCCGACAAGCAGGTATCTAGAGTTTAGACAATGGAGTGGGTACAGCGTGGCTCTCTTGACGTTATATTTAGTATTCTATTAATATTCTAATAGGCGCTTTTGTACTTTCTCCCCTCATTGGCACGGTTGTCGCTTTGTCTTATGGTCCTCAAACGATGCTTCGTGTGTGTGTACAAGCAGTAATTACATAAAATTTTGTAATTACCACACTAACAAAATGTTAGCTAGGAAGCAGCCTACGCAAGCCTTCCATTTGACACTGAAGTGTGTTTCAGCCTTGAGCACATAGTTTAAATTACAATGGAAAAACTCAACTGCTAGGGTAGTTTTGTAGCTTTGACCTGTCTTAAGCCGTTAAAAAATTTAAATGAAAACACCTTGTGGCCCCATATGTGCGCGGCCATAAATTCTGCAGGCCACCGCCGCGTCCACCCATCCACATCCAACGTTAACGGCAGACAGAGACTCAACATTCTTCCTGGGGGAGAGAGACGCAACAGTTAGTTAACGATATCTAAAATGGATGTAAAACTGCGCGAAGCTGACAAATTAAGTATGCATGAAAGTGGCAGCGCCACACACACATGAGCTGTATATGTATACACGAACACGAATACTTAAGCAAGCGAGGAGGGCGGAGGAGAGTTCTTTTCACGTTGCAGTTAATAGGATTTGGCTAGAGAGGGGGACCAATTTATTTGTTTAATTTGTTTACAAGACCTTCAAGTCATTGTAGTACTTGCAACAGTGTTGACGGTGAAGCGTTGCGCGACTTAAGTCGGCATGTGTGCACGTTTTCACGGCGGTGTGAGTGTGAGTGTCCCAGGGTATGGGAGTGCGGATGTATGGATCTTTGGGTGCATACCTTAACTGACGTTTAAATGGGCAATTAGGCAAAGCTGTGTAATGTTTTCATCGTTAAGAACGTACGTGGCAAGGCCACCCCACCTTCTGCAAGGTCGGATTAGGTATTGACCCCGTCCGTGTGGCTCGGACCACCTTTTGAGCTCAGATGACTTGTTATATCCCGACGCAGCACACCCACTGAGTCAGTGAGCCGGCTAGCTGCCATCAGAATGATCTGCGGTTTACCGCGTTGACGGGCTCCATCACGGCTAGGCTTCAGAGCCTCCAGAACCACTCAGTCCAAGTGTCTTTGCCTTTGACGAGCAACTTGAAACAGTCATTTTTCCCTGGCAGCAAGGCACCGGTACCTCATCCATTTATTAACTTATTAAATTACACACATGCTTGCACAGGTTGCCGGGCCACAGCCACATCCCTGGGTGGTCGACTGGGAGTGGAGACTGAAGCTGGGCGGGTGGTTAATTTATTTGCATGAAAACATACGTACATAGTTGCAACTTGCAGGCTTATGACTCTATAGTGAGTGCTCAACCTTCATCTCTCCAATCCTTGTGGAAAGGACGCACTTACTTTGTGGCCCTTTGCACCGTGCGTATAACACCAAAGTTTGGAAAGGAGGACCTAGAAATAGTCGCTTTCGGCATTGCCATTTGTGTCTTATCTCGTTCTCTGTGCCAGACCCGGGTCCAAGCTGCTAAACGAATTTATGTCGTAATGAATGTCGGTGGCCACATATCTCTGTGTCTATCAGCGCTTTATGCACAGTTCAGCACTTATTTTGCTCCGGCCTCAGCCTATGGGTTGGACTAGCATATATAGGAGGTCGGGTGTGTATCTTGATATTGTTCGTGCTATCCTTATTGCGTTGTGGGCATGGCATTTCGAGGAAATAGTTATCCAAAGCATTTGGAATGCATTCCAAGCTGGGGTAGCGGGCCGGTGGCGGAGATACCGACTACCTTTTAAATATGTTGCGCATTTAAGCGGGAGCTTATCAGCGCAAGTTTAAAAATTTAAAAAAAAAATGTTACTAGCCGACGTAGCCAAACTGAACTTTGAGTGTTAAGCTGGTCCCAAGCTTAAGGCAAACCAAAGGTGAAAAATGCCTACGATTTGTGCTTAAATTATGAGCTGCTCACTTTGCCCTTAATAGTTTCCCCTTGTCTTAACTCATTTACAACCTTCTAAGGCTGTCCATGGCATGCCCTTCCTTTATTAACACTTATTTTAATAAGAAGTGTTTACCTCGATTTCCAGAAAATTATAATCTGCTGTATCTCGCTCCGGTCATCGTAAATTTTGAATAATATAGTCAACAGCTTAAGACAATATTTGCAGTTATTTCGTTTTCACCACCCTAAAGTAGAGAGTATCTGCGGTTCGGCTTTCCGTTGTCGGGGCTAGGAGTTTGTCTCTTTCAGCCTCTTCGCGTTTTTTACGAGCTGTTACCGGTCGTGCCCACGCCAATGCGTGTTAAGAGGCAATTAAATCCGAATTACATTCTGCTCCTTTTTGCAGCCCGTCAGGTACACCTATGTGTATGTGGGGTTGTTAACGTAAGTTCCCTTCAGGAGTAAAGCGGCAGGTGTGCCAAGCGCCACGCTGCCTGGTGCGATTTGGACACCACTTTCACTCCCCTCCAAGCCTAATAGCCCAAAGCAGTTCCTGACCCCAGCAGGATCCGAGAACGAATGCCGATAAGGCTTGAAAAGTTCAAGAAGCTAGTTGCCAGTTGGCAGGACTTGCCAACTAAGTCACTGTACACTGTTCATGGGCCAAATGCCTACACGTGCCAATTAAAGATAAATTTTAATTGCCGCCACAGAATGGAGATTTATATGTTAAGCATTAACCAAGCAAATCGGATTAGTTTATCGTTAGTTTAATTTAACTGAACAAGCTTTCATCTCTGCTTTCAAATTTTCAAATCAAAACCAAGAATTATCATATGCGTTTGAATGTCAAAGGCGCTAGACCGCAAAAAAGTTACATATATTAAATTTGGGTAACTCAACCAATTCACATCAAGCGAGTGGAATTGAATGTGACTGGTCGAGAAAAAAACAAACAGAGTTATATTGTGATTTAAAGCCAAAACTCACTCAAATAAGTTTTACTCGTCTCCAATGCACCCGGAAAAACATTTGTCCCGAAAAGGAAACTAAGATAATTGACTTGCATTTAATATTTTAGAACCAAATTTTTATTGAATTATTATTTTATGTAGGGGGCGAAGTGGCACGGTAGGCAATGCGGCCAAAACAGTATAATTTAAACAAGTGTAAAGTGTATGTAATGTGTGTAATTTTTATTAACTCTAAGAAGGTACAGAATGATGGACACATTAGGAAAAGCGACAAGATATATATATATAATTTTCGATTTTAAAAATACATTTTTAAATTTATAAAAATAGATCCATATCATATGAATGATCGAAAATGTATAGCAAAGGCGACATAGCTTTATTGTTTTTAAACATATGGTATATATAAACATACATATCTATGTAAAGTCGTGTTTTTGGGTATTACATTAAATACATTACATTGGTATAGCAAAAGGGATTAAAAACCTAGACTTGCTTTCTGCTTACTCATCAGTTGCCTCCAACACTTTGAGCTACTTAATTTGGATAACTTCAGAGGGTCGACTCTAATGTTTATACTTTTAAAACTGGACCGATTGGGATCGGAATGGTCAAATGCAGAAAACACTTTTGCAGACAATTATCTTGCAAGTTCTGAGCTGCAATTGTTCACAGTGTAGAAAAGCAGCAAAAATACTTGCTTAAAACGCCCTGCTGGCGCGGCAGAAAACGGGTTTACCATATCGCCATCATGTCATTACTAAGGCCCAAATGAAGCCATTCAACCCAAACTACTCTGGGAAGAGGCACTGCAAACGGGAGTCAATAGTGGGGGTGGGGTTCCAGAGTGTCGGTGTGTGTGCAGACCCAACTTAATCCTTTTGTGAACAAACATACGCTCTTTAGCTCGATGACCGAGCCGAGACCTGGTCCTGGTCCTGGTCCTGGTCCTGACTCTGAATCAGAGCTGGTACTGGCTCTGTTTCTGTTTAAGACCTGGGGAGGAGGTCACAAAAAGTGTGGCAAGCGGAAATCAAATGAAAAACTCGTGCGTCGCCCCAAAATAGCACAGAAATAGTATAAAACAAAATAAAATAAACTTTTCCGAACGCATTTCTATTGTCAGCGGCACAGTCTTCGCCGTCGTCGTCTCTTTCGGAGGGTGAAAACTTTCCTGGACCATTGTAGCGGTGTGCGGGTGCCCGCCTTTTGTT